CCATATTCTGAGGTCATAGGCTAGTTTCCTAATGGTTTAAAATTAAGAGTTTAATTTGGTCTTTCACTTTTAAGTCTCTAACCCATCGGCATCAAATAGGTGCCTGTGTGACATAGGGTTCCATTTTCATTTTTTTTTCCCCAGGTAGGTAATCAGGTGTCTCAGCACCAATTATGGAAAAGTACATCCTTTCTCCAATGGCCAGCAATGCCACCTATTCATAGGTCAAAGTTTCATAAATGTGTGGTGGTATCCTGGGGTCCCTATTCCTTTCTATTAATTAACTAGAGGTTTGGTGCCCAAAATTCATGCACGGAGGGGGGGGGGCCCTCAGCCCGGCCCTGCACCCTCTCACAATCCGGGACCCTTTGGGGGATGTCCAACTGCATACCTGTGGGATTGGACCTAAACTGGCAGTCGGACATCACTCTCACAATCCGGACCACTGGCTCCTAACCACTGGCCTGCCTGCCTGATCACCCCTAACCACTCTGCCTGCCTGCCTGATCGCCCCTAACTGCTCACCTGCCTGCCTGATCAACCCCAGCCACCTCTGCCTGCCTGCCTGCCTGCCTCATCTGCCTAACCACTCATCTGCCTGTTTGGTTACCTCTAACCGCCTCTGCCTCAGTCCCTGCTGCTGTAGCTTCGTCTGGAAGTTCATTTGGCTGTCTGGTCTAATTAGTATATTATGCTCTTATTATTATAGATTAGCATATCCCTAAGCAAATGCTCAGCAAAATTTTGCTCTATGTTTTTAATAGATATTATTTATGCAAATATTTTTGGTCATGACTGAAATATCTAATTTTATGAAATAATTTACCTACATCTATTTAGATCATTATATGGTGTTTCTCCTTTAATCTACAGTGTGAATGACACGTGCATTTTTCAGTGCTTGATCACCCTCCTATTCCCTGAAATACACCCACTTGGCCATGATGTATTATTTATTTTATACATGGCGGAAAAGGCCTGCTAATACTTTGCCTAAGATATTTGCATCTATAGTCATGCATGAAATAGGCCCAAAGATTTCTTATACCCACCTTGTCTAAGTTTGGTATCAAGTTTATCCTGGCTTCATTGAATGGGTTAGAGAGTGTGCCTCTTTTCTTATTCTCTGGAGTTTACTTAAAATTGATAATATCTTTTGATTAAAAAAAAATTGGTAGAGCTTGTCTCTACTTACCATCTAGGGATGTGTTTTCTTTGTAAGAAGGTTTAATAGCTAGAAGATAATCGACCTCATATTTTTTCCTGAAGTCAGTTTTTGTAAAGTATACATTTCTAGAAATTTGTTCATTTCACATAAGTTTTCAATTTGACATAATGTTGTTCATGGTCGTCTCTTATCGCCTACAGTTCTGCTTTATCTATTGGCTCAGAAGCTCCACAAATGGGAGGCTTCTGTTTGCTTTCACCTTCGCTGTACACCTAGAACTTGGAAGAATGGCTGCCTCAAAAACACGTGGGAACGAACACATAACTGCATGTCTGCCTCCCTGTTCATTTCTTGCTGAATTCTCTTTGTTTCTCCCCGAGTCCTGCCATAGCTTTATTTTACTGGTCCCTTTCCAAGAACCAAATCTTGGCTTTGTTGATCAATTTGTTCATCATTTTCTCCTATCTTCTTTATGTCCTGCCTTTTATTTTCTTTGAACTTATCCTAATGTTTTTTATTAGATAAAGTTGTAAACTTGGCCTCTCAATTTTCAGCCTTTCTTTTGAATATAAACATTTAAAGCTACACATTTTCTTACACGTTTGTTTCATTCCACTAATTTTGACATATTTTCTTTCATTCAGTTCTAAGTAGTTTTCAGTATCAATTTTGATTTGGTTAGAAAAATGAGTAATTTAGAAGTGTTGTTTTCAATTGTAATCAAATGAATTAAAAAATATAGTTACTGCCTTCTAATTTAATTATACTGTATTCAGAGAACTGTATATATGAATAATATGATTCTCTGAAATGCACTGCAATGTGTGTTATGGTTTAGTGTACAGTTAATTTTTAATAAATGTGAGCTTGAAAAGAATGAATATTCTGTTAGGTACAAGGTTCTTTATTTACTGAATAAACCAAGATTTGTAATTCAAATCTTCCATAATGTTTAATCAGATTTTTGTCTGTTTGATCTTTCAATATCTTAAAAAAATATGTTAAATTATTCTACTCTGATAGAATTGTCCATTTCTTTCTGAAGTTCTATTGAGAGAGGTCTCTCTCTCCTCTCTCTCT